CTGAATCATGGGCAACAACAGATGTTTTGAGTCAGGGACCGTCACAAAATGCCTCCCAAGTATGTCAGGTCTGGGAGGAAAGGGATTATATCTCTGGGACATTATTTCTTCATTCTCGTTCAGCAACTGAACATATTTCGTTCCCATTGTCTTTTTGTTGGAAGCTCTCCATTGCCGGCACCACTGCCATCAGCTACAAAAATAAGAAGACAGCCTCCTCCAGCAGGCAAGGCTGGCTCTCAGCTAGTCAGTGATCAGGTTTGAGCAACCTCCTAACAATCCACAGGGCCTTTCCTTAAAGTTTAAGTAAATCATTAAAGTAGCCCACCCATGCCATGCCAACCCTTTCCTCTCTCAAGCAATCAACAGCCACTGTGTGCTTAAAAAATCCCTCTGTGTTTGGCCATAATGGACCATAAATTGGGATGTCCCAAAAAAGCAGACTCCACTCATAGCTCATGTGCTTACTGTACATAAGTGAGTGCCATGACTTAAAAGAACAGAAGCACTTAGCTGGGAGAAGGGTCAGTGGAGACCTACCACTATAACTAAAGGCCTAGAAAGTGGACATTTAAAGGAACAAGGGTTGTGTTGCCTGAGGAAGCGAAGACTAAAGGTCTTAATTCTTCACAAGTGACAGTGTTTCTAAGAGAACAGAAACTGGCTGTGCTCCATCAGGGACAGAAAGAGGACATGTGTCTAAATGACAGCAGGAAAGCTCAACATTGAATTTAAGAAGTCCCTGACAGTTAGGGTTGTGACCTAGAAAACACATTGCCAACATGGCCTATGGAAGCTCCTTCTCTGGGAAATTTAAAGCTTCTTCTGAGGATATTTTCAGCATCAGTCCCCTGGGCAACAGGGCAGGCCTGCTATACACTGTCTCGTGAGGTCCCGCTCTCATTCCAGGATCATGAATTATTTTATTTCATCTCCCATAGATCGACACTAAAGCTATGTGGTAAACAGTGCATGATGCACAGCTTGGGGCTGGCTGTTTTCTGGGATTAGGATGACAGAACCATCTTATTTCAGAAAACATCTTTACTGTCCTCAGGCCCAACCTTACTACCCTTTGAGTCTTGGGTTGGTCTTTCCAAGTTATTGGTGCTCTTCTTATGTTCTAAAAAAAACAACACACAAAAAGGCACACACAGGAGACAGTGTATATAGCGATAATAGTAGAAATGAAGACCACAGCTTTTATTGAGCTCTTACTGTATCCCTGTTACTGTACAAAGCACTTTGCATGGCTCATTCCATTTCCTCCTCCTCACAACTCTATGCAACAATGATGTCATTACACCCATTTTACAGATGGGAAGACTGAGGCTTTAAAAGATTCATGAGCATTCGGCCAGGATTCCTGCCCAGATGAGAGGCAATTTTATTCAGTCCAATCAGGCTCATATCCCACTTTCATCACTCTAGCTAGGGTCTCAAAAACATCACACTTCAATTTGGGGTTTTTTTTGGTTTTTTGGTTTTCTTTTAGTAAAAATGAAGAAAATAATAAATACTATTTCGCGGGGAAGAATACATAAGAAAAGGCAGACAACGCCTCCAGTGCAATATCTGGCACATAGTAGGTGCTCTGTTAGCATCAGAGCTTTTCCTCTTCCGCTCCCTGGGCTTTTCCTGGTCTGAGCCATTCCTTCATGATGTCCTGGTTCTAATCAGGTCTCTCTCAGTGACAGGCAGGGACGTTTTGCTGCTCAGCGTCCCTCTGACTGATGTCTACTGCTAATTCCTTAAATTTACATATCATCTTTCTTCCCCCGAGCGCGTAGCACTTAACAGACAAGTGGGGCACAAATGATTTAACTAAGTGAAATTCAGAGGCCTGCTCGTCTTGAGATTCTGCAAACTAGTGGATTAGCTCAGATGTCAGCACTGAATTATGATCCTTCAGCTGCTCGTGCTTAGCACGCCACCAGCATTAGCTCTCTGGTCTTCCAGGGGTCCTTTAAATCATGCATAGTGATTATCATCTTATTATGAGAGAAAGAGAGGAGAAGAGAGGAAAGAAAGGAGGGGAGAGGAGAGGGGGCGAGTTCAAGCCCCCAGGAGAGGCAGTCTGTGATACCTTTGGCTTCATGGTGCCTGAAGTTGTAGCAACAGGATGGGTAAACAGAAAAGACCCAGATAACACCCCTCCAGCCCAGTTCTTCACACCTCCACACACATTTTACTTACTAAATTCTAACCATTATGCTATGATTCCCCTGCCACTTGAGAATGTAAATTCATACAAGTGACAGTATTTCTGCCAAGCAATTTTCAGGCAGCAACTGGGTCTTATTTGCAAAACTGAAGGGAGAAGGCTGAATAATAAGCCTGAAATCTGGTTTCCTTTATATATGAGGTGGGAGCAGTAATGCCTTGGAAATTACTGGAGCGTGGGAGCATATGGGGGGCTCTCACTGGTGGCTCTGTGGATGGATGCTTCCACAGGTCACCCTGTTATTATTACCTCACCTGTGAAAAGGCTGTTGGCTCCGGAGGGTGGGAGGGAATTGTGAAGAGATGTCATGAATCGGAGGGTTTACCAGAGGCTCGCTGCCTCTCCCTCTGCTCTTATTTCCAGTGTGTAGCCTCATATCATTCTTTATCCCTGTGTTTGTCATTTGGTCATTAATGGGAACAAAATTTTCTTAAGTAGTGGAACATACATGTCACTAGTGGGCAGGAGAAGAAGCAGTATTAAGCCTCATAAGTGTAATACCAGGACCTCGTCATCATCTGGGGCAATTAGAAAGACATACACGAAACAGTTAAATTATAGTACAAGGTACGAGGTGGTTGGCGACCTGCTGAAATGCATAAAACAATGGCAGCGAGTCTTTTTAAAAACAGAGTAAAATCACTGGTACAGTCAGTAAATGCTTGAGTTGCTGAGAGAAGAGAGGAATTAATGTTGAAATACGAGCCAGCAGAAGAGGTGGGATAGCTGGATTGGTCAGGGAGGGAGGAATCACAGATAAGAGGAGGGAAAAGGAGTGGGGCCCAGTGCGAAAGCCGCTTTTCCTTGAATAGAGTGTGATTGATTGCCCGGACTTGGGGCAGGTACCTCGGGCACGGCTGAGTCAGGGAAGAGAACAGCCTACTACTGTCTGAAGGTGGGAACACTTAATGTCCAGTCCGGCTTCTATAACTTAGTAGTGTCTCTACCTTGGACCAGTCACTTGAACCTTTCTGAGCCTCAGATTCTGCTTCCTATGCAAAGTAAGATTAATAAGATCGAACTCACAAGCATATAGCAAGGATTAAGTCAAATAATGCATATGAATGTGCTTTGTAACATGTAACATATTATGCAAATATGACTTATAATTATTATCATTAATAGTAGTAGTAATGAGATCTGATAGGAGAAGCACAGGCTTAGAAGATTGTTGGGTGTCTGGTTGTGGCACCAGTGTCTCCTCCCTCAGCAGATCACTATCATTACAATTCTCGACTGTAGACAGCTGCCTAGTGATCTGCATTGACTTTGGCCTTGAAAGAGGCTCATGTTGTGGGGTATTAGACAGATGTGGGTTCTGGATGGTTAAAGGGACACAAACTGGAATCCCAATTATGCATCCTAAGCTGGTCTAATTTGAGTTGAGGGACAGGTAGCTTCTAGAACAATAATCCCAGAGAATCTAACTGGAAGGAGCTTCGGGTAGCCAGGGAGGAAGAGAGAGGGGGCTGGGAGGAACTGTTTTGGGGCCACTGTTGGGAGGACTGTCGCAGGCTCAGCCCTCACTAGAAAGCTTACGTCAACAGGAGTAACAGCAGAGGACCAGTTGCTTCAGGGCTCTGGAGTCCTCGCCCACCTTTGCCTGACAAGCCCAGGGTGATCATAAACCCTGCTGAATAGGAAAGCTCTGTGCACATGTCTCAAATTAGCCTGAGCCTGAAGTGTCTGAGGTCCTGGGGGTGTGGTGCACAAGTGCCCCTGCCATCTTACAGAAGTGTTCAGCTTAAGATGTTTCACGGCCAAAAGGAGGCAGAGAGATTTTCTCTTCACATGCCAACTTACTGTCTGTACTAGTGGCCAGGATACTCCTGCACAAGTTGAGTTTGCTGGTGCAGGTCCCCTCTACACCTGTGTCTGCAAGACCTGAGGTCTGCAAACAGGAGCAGTATCTCGGTCTTCCGCATAGTGTCTGATATACTGGAAATAATCAGCCAAAAGGCCCACTCGCCAAACATTTGGATGGGTGAAACCTTAATTCCCCAACATGTTTATGTTCTCTGCTAAACACATAGTCTTTGTTAGTGATGATGCAGAGCCTGTTTTCACTGGAGCTGTGTTTGCCTGGCTGGCTGAGAAAGGCCAAGTTCAGGCCTCCCCAGGCTGGGCAGAGAAGGGACCAGGGTCCTCTGAATCACCCTGTCAGCCACCATCCTCTGTTTGGCTTGAAGTTGACACTAGGCTTCTGATTTATGGTCACCCAGGCACCATCTAGTAACACCAGTGGAGACAGAAGGTTTTAAATGTCTTCCATTTGGACAGTGCCCAGCCACGATGACAAAGGCTTGAGGCATAAGCCACCTGGCCAGCATCCTCCTCTAATCTAGCAGCCACCTCATCCCCTTATAATTCAGTTCATAGACTGCATTGTCCCTTTGGGGAAGCCAGTGATGAATAAGATGTGAGTCTGGCCTCTTTGAATCTAGGGAGAGAAGAAAAGCGCAGACACCACCAGCCAAGACATCAGGCTGGCCCACCAGGTGCCATCTGTAAAAGAGTCTCAAAGAAAGTGGTGCAGAGAAATAGGCAGGAGGGACCTACTTGAAGTGAAGACTCAGAGGGCTTCAAGAGGACCCAGTGTTTGAATTAGGGCTCTGACGGAGCCTTCAGAAAGGGACGCAGGGCCTGGAGAAAAAGGACGTGAATAAACAGGACACCCAAACTCTGGTCCCGGTTTTCCCCTGGAGGGGCAACAGCTGCACACCGGTGTCTTTCCCAGCGTTTACCAGGAACCTCTGTTTGGGTTTGTTTCCCCCAGATGACAGGAATTTCTTGCGGCTGCAGAGTGACGGGCGGCGAGAAGGCCAGTACGCGCGGCTCATCAGCCCACCGGTCCACCTGCCACGAAGCCCTGTGTGCATGGAGTTCCAGTACCAAGCCACCGGCGACCGCGGGGTGGCGCTGCAGGTGGTACGCGAAGCCAGCCAGGAGAGCAAGCTCCTGTGGATCATCCGCGAGGACCAGGGCAGCGAGTGGAAACACGGGCGGCTCATCCTGCCCAGCTACGACATGGAGTATCAGGTGGGGTGGTGACGGGAGATGGGCTTGGAGATCCGTGGGGGTCCTTGTGATCTGTATTTCAATATTTCAAAGAGCTGTGCCCATTCATCATTAAGGAACGTGGTTAAGCGCTGCTGTTTTCATTGTGTTTCTCACGTTGCCATGGCAACTAAATGACACTCTTATTTGTTATTCAGAATGTGCCTATCTCTACACCCAGACTTGGTTCTTTGTTCCTCCTATTGCCTTTTATATTGCTGAAATCTTCTCCCGGCAAATGTTTCTTCTCTCCATTTTATTTTAGATTGCTATCAGGTAGGCTGACAAAGGGACACAGGAGCCAGGGAAATAAATACAAACAAACCCTCCACACACAGGGCAGAGGCCTGTGAAGCCACTCAGACTCCAAGGGGGAGAGGGGACAACCTCCCAGATTTGTCCCAGCGAGAGTGTTAACACGGGAAGGGAAGGGCTGCTGTTTGCCTTCAGTGGCCAGCAGACCAGGGAGATGTGTCTCTAAAGGAGTGGTTTCTCTCCCAGCAGCTACAGCAGTTGAGTCCTATTATCTCTGCCCCACAGAGCGAGAGACTGAGGCACAGATGGGTATGCACAGCTGTGGCTGAAACTTGGGTAGGAGCAGACACACTGTGGAAGAGGTGACTGAGAACCAGCCAAAGCATTAACCTGCTCCTCCCCAGACGAAAAGCAGCAACAGATGGCTGGTGAGGCAGCCAACTGCCTGCTTAGCTTGCCAGAGGACATGTGCTAGTTTGCAGAGAGAACCTGGGGAGGGTGAGAATGAGGAGTGGTTGAAGACCACAGAGCCCAGGGGCTTCTGTGTGTCACCTGCAGTCACTCAAGGTTGTAAGGTGTCCTGAGTTCCTCCCCACCCCCACCAGAGTCCCCATTTATAAACCTGAGTGGATTGTATTTGTGAGCACCTGTTTGCATTTTTGTCTCATCAACTACGGGCAGAGAGGGTCTTGTCTATTAAGTTTTGTAACTGTCCTTGTGCCTGGCACATAGTAGGTGCTCGGTAAACTATTGGTAAACAGACAAATCATTTCCCTCTTAGTTGTAATAATGGAGCCATAAGACAATAGTACCCCCAAGGCAACCCAAACCTGAATACTTTATTTCTCACCTTACCCCCACCTGCTCATGTCCTCTGAGTTTCCAAATACCTGGATTGGGCATTTGAAAGATTTATGAGAAAGGAACCTCAAAAATAGCCAGGGAAATTTTAACCCTCCATTAAACACACTCTGATTGTGGTCCTTTTAATCAATACATTCGAGTTACTGGACAACAATATCCATCATCTTGTAATATATATTTTTTAATCCCCTCAAATATGCATTTGATTTGAACCAACTCTTTTTAAATTAAGATTTTTAAGCACCGTAGCCATGTGGTCAACAGATGTGTACCAGGCACAGCAACACACACACACACACACACACACACACACACACACACACACACACACACACGTTTTAAGCTGCAGTTAACAGAAAATTGGAAATCCTTGCACTGTGTGGACCAGGAAGCACAGTTAACCATGGCTCCTGTCCTTCTGGTTTCTAGATTGTGTTCGAGGGAGTTATAGGAAAAGGACGTTCGGGAGAAATTGCCATTGATGACATTCGGATAAGCACCGACGTCCCGCTGGAGAACTGTATGGGTACGTGAATATCTGTCTCTTTGTGGCTCTTCCAAATGAGACACCAAGGTCTGGGATATACAAGAGAAGGAAGCACGCCATTTCCAAACAGTCGTTACCCAGTGGGGAAGGCAGCTGCCATTTAAGTAGGAGGTGAGGTGTGAATGTAGCTGTGTCTTAGGCTGTATTCAGGATGCGAGGAGTGTGAGATGAGGGTAAGTCTTACAGCCCCGTTCCCATTCAGAAATAGACATGCATTAAACAGATGTAGATCAGGGTGTCAAGACCCCATCATCAGACTCCAACTTTTAGCAAAGAAAATGCTGGAGGACGAGAATAACTGCCAGTCAGAATTACATGCAGGAAAGGTTTGATGGATTTAATGGAAGCCTTCACTGGTGACCAAAAATAGTACCTGCGTTAGATCAGAGTGATAACATAATTCCCCAAGTAGTTCTTTTACGTGAACGAATTGCAAGACAAACTATGGCTTGTGAAGTAACATTTTAGATTTTGCTGTGAAGTAAATACCTCTCATGCCCCAAATCCCAGAGTTATTTTAAGATTAAACATTGCACAGCAGGTGACTGGTATAGGAAAGACACCGTAACTGTCCCCTTGGACAGAAGTGCCAGCCCCCCCCCCCCGGATACACACATTTTACCCAGTGCACCCCGGGGGCACCCTGACCATCTCCATCAGAACCAGGGACATTCCCCAAAGCAAGAGGAAATCCTGAGAAGGAACAGACCTGCTTTCAGTCAAAACAATGATTGTCATAACTCGCCAACTGCTTTGCTTGGCACATAAGTCCCAGGTGTGTGTGTGTGTGTGTGTGTGTGTGTGTGTGTGTGTGTGTGTGTGTGTGTGTGCCTGATGATGTCAGAAGCACCTGGGACTGCCCCAAGCCCTTCAGGCAACTCTCAGGCACCAGGCATCTAAAAGTAACCCAGGCTCTGAGAAAGTAATCAGTGGTGAGTGACTGATTACAATGCTTTGGGGGACCCATTACACTAGTAAAGGACTTTTTGTTCCAAAGCAACTTGGAGAATCTCTCCCCACCTACCGGGCCCCCATGATGATGATGTGTTAGACACAGTCTAGAGCATGGGGAGGACATGGGACACTTTCTATGGGGTATTATAAAAAAAAACTTAATCGAAGTCATCTTCATCATACCCTATGTTTTCCCAATTCTTTCTTCCCCTTTATTTAACTCAAAATGTCTTCTGTGGTTTTTTTTTTCTTCCAGAACCCATCTCAGCTTTTGCAGGTGAGAATTTTAAAGGTAAAAAAAAAATTGTTTTTTTGCATGCTTTTCCTTTCCCACCACGTGATGTGAATTTGGTGGAGGGTAATAAACCCCCAAATTTAACAAATCTCAGAAGAGAAAACAGACGCCACACCTTCCCACCGCTAGATGGCACCAATGACACCTGTAGATGCCAGGGAAAGGGGGATTGAGATCCTCACTGTCTGTTGTTTAATTAAAGTTTAGAAACCGATAATAGAGACAAATAGGTTACAGATAAACCTTTCAGCCTTGCATTGTCCAACGGGGAGCAGTGAGGCTGAAAATGCATGAGTGGTGAGAAAGGAGAGACTGTAGGGAGACTGAACAACAACAACAACAACAAATCAGTAGTAAATTAAAAGTGAAATGAGGTGGCAATGATTTATTTTAGCCTGAAGATGGTTTCTTTCCAGTTCCAGGGTATCAAGGCAGCAGTCTCAATTAACCCTCCGTGAGATACAGTGGCAAGCTGTTTTGTGAGGGGGAAAAGTTAGGGAAAAGACACAAAGAGTGATAATCCTATTGAGGAAAAGTTGCAGAATTCAGGAGCTGGTGTCTAATAAAGGAATAAGAAGGCACATTTGATAACTGGAGTTAAAGCCCTTTAAATAGAGGACTGAAAAACAGAAAAGGACATTTTCTTCCTAATAAAGTCACTATAGAGCAGAGCAAAGAGAAAAGAATTTGGAGCGCTTGCCTCATCCGTTGAGGCAGGGGAAGGGACGCCAAGCTTGGGGATGGTTATGCCTGTGCTGTTACAATGCCATGCATTTCACATTTTGGCCCTTTTTGCAGTCCAGTTAGTTGACACTGCTGCAGTTCCCACCCAGGTTCCTGTGCTAAGCGTTGAGAAGCCACTCAAAATGCTTCACTTTTAGTTGGCCTGGGTGTAAAAGCACACTCAGAGACACTAACCCTCCCCTAAGGACGTGGTTTTCATAACCTATTTTATGCCAACAGTTGTGAGGGTTGTTGGGCCCTGTGTGTACTGGCTGGCCTTAACCCCATAGGTGACAGTGTTTCAGAGATAAGGGAAGTCCGTTTTATATCTGAAGTCTAGGCTTGTTATCTTCACTCTCATTAATCTGTCCGGCTCTTGGCTAGAAAGAGATGAATTCCTGGTTTGTCACCTAGATGCGTTCTCTGACTCCAAGTCACCTTGCCTAATTCGCCACTCATCACCCACAGCTCTAAGACAATAGATGAGGAAGAGCCAAGCAGAATAGTGAATGACAGACCCCCAAAGCATACCTTGTCTTTCTTTCTCACCCTTCCTTGCCCCCCTTGAGCCCCATTCCTACCCCCCGTGGCACGTTTTGAAGTATTAAGAGTGCTCATATGCCTATGTTGGCGCTCTTTGGGCGTGAGATGTATGTGAATGCGAATCTAAAGCATTAGAAGGAGAGCTGAGGTCACAACTGAACGGCTTGGATTACAGTTGAATTCAAGTTCTAACCTTCAGGACCCGAGGTAATGTTGATACCGGGGAAGTGGAACCTGCTTATGTTGTTTCACCGGACTCTGATTGGTTGTTGAGACTCAAAGCTCCCAGAAAAGGCTGGCTAAAGACTTGCAGGCACTGCCGCACAGTGGCCTGTGTAAGCACACAGGCCTGGGTCCGTGACTGACAGGTACAGTGGCTAAGTGCTTTGCTCCTGTAAGAGAATAAACAAACCAGGGCACATGTGCTCTCCTTGAGGCTGTGTTTACCGTGGGGCTTCACAGTCCAGTCATGTTCTCTTGTAAAAAATATATAAATAAAATATCATCCGAGCCGCAGTGCTCATTTAGCCAAAATAAACATAGGGCTTAGTGACTTGAAGGTAAGAATTTCCAGTGTGTTCCCGATGGGCTGGCTTGGGGGATTAAGCCGAGGCAGAGCACCAGTGGCATGGATTGGCCTACAGCTGATGTCTTGGGAGATAGCGAGCATCTTTGGAAGGAGGAAACCAAGTCTTGGGGAGCAGAGATTTGACCCAGGAACACAGAATCAAGAGCAGGACCAGAATTGAGAATGGACAATCTCAATCCCATTGCCAGTCTTTGCATTGAATTCCAATGTGGTAGCCAGATGAACCCAGGGCCAGAGAGTCTTCTTTTGCGCTGAGGCCCATTTGACCTCAGCATGCAACTCTGTGTTTTGATTCAAGCCAAGCTTTCCATTTGGGAGAGGAAAGGGGAACCATTTGCTCTATGTAACCTAGTGACTGGCCTACCATTCCTCTCCTGGTCCGGGCAGAGGCAGCCCGCTCTCGGTGGTAGTGTGGGAGCCTTAGGATTAAATGGCATTTTCACTCAGAAAGGGAAACAAAGAGAAATCAGATTGGGAGAGGCAGGATATGGAAAGTTGATGGTAAAACACTATTAACAACAGGCATTTACATTGATAGTATGTTTTCTTGAATTTGAGTTGTTTTTCTTTTCCATTATAAATTAACCATGAGACGGAAGCTTTCTTATTCTTTAAGAGAGACCAGTGTGTACTAGGTAAATCTTTAAGGAAATGCAATAACAGTGGCCTCTGGTCCTGAGCTTATTAGGTATTCTTGATCTTTTGTATTTTGAAGTGTCTTTCATTTCCCACCTCTTACTCATTTCTTGCCATGAGACACATTCTTTTTATTCACATCACCTTGTGTTTTCTGCTTAGTGTGTACACTTTGATTGTATACCAGGGTGTGAGTCAGTAATGAAGAGAAACAAGCCGTGAAGAAAAGGAGAACTGTGTAGAGAAGGGACAAAGAAAAGAGAGAATGAATAAGCTGTGTTGTCATGTGATTTTTAAAAAGACTTTTTTCTTGTTGTTGTTATGAGTCACATTTTAAACAATGTAGCCTGGGTGTGCATTTTTTCTTTTTTTTTAAGCACTGGCTATAAACATAGTACCATCATGTATCTTTTTCTAGAATTTGAGCTTTAACAAGTGAAAAACTATGTAAAGGGAAAAGACAAAAAACACAAAACGTGGTATAATTAAGGTGATGAATTATTTCCTCTTAACCAATATTTTCTTTTATTCAGTAAAGGAAAAAGAATAATAAAGAAGCAAGTAAAAATATATAAAGCCCATAATCATAGATCTGCCGTTGTTGACTAGGCGGTTATTTTTAGCAGCTCACAGTGGAAGGGAAGAGTTCTTGTTCGCGTTAGAGGCTGTGGGCTCTGAACACAGCGGCGGCAGAGAGACGGTCTGGTACCCCACCCATTAGATACCCATGGAAATCCCGGGCATGGGTGCATTCGTGGAAAGTGGTTGTTAGAGTGAAGAATTCAGAGCTGCTGTGTCTACCAGTGATGGATGCTAAAAGGAACGTCAGTATCTCCTGTTAACGACTGTAGATGTGGGTTTTATGTCTCAGACCAGTTCTGAGGGTCCTAGGGCCCATCTCTTGGGTCTCGCTTTCTGTAATCCTCCTCACTTTTCATCCAGGTAAAACCAGGAGAAAGTGAACACCAAGGGCTTTTCTCATGGGCTGAGAGGGGAGCAGCCTTAAGAGAGACCCATTTGGGGGACAGAGCTGGCAGGGGTTTGACTGTACATCAAGTTTGAAGTTCTGTTTACTTGGTGCCAACCGGCCCATCTCTGCCATTTCCCACCCCCATCTCTCCCTTTGCATGTTCACCCTCCTTCTCTGTTGGCTGCCTCCCAGAACCTTGCCCGCCAGCATAAAGGCCCCCGTCCCAGGGCACAGGACCCATTGGAGTTGGCCTCAAATTCTTGCTCTTCTTGGCTTCTTTTCTCCCGTGGCTTTCTCTACTAGAAGCACTTCTGAGAAGCAGCAAGGGTTAAACGGCGTTTATGCACGTAATCCTCTGATGAAAGGCAGAGAAGTATTCCTAAACCCTGCCAGGGTTCCAGATAGGCAGCTGTGCTGTGTGACTCCTTCTCCTCGCTCCCCCGCCCCCTCACGTCTCCAGCTGCCAGATGAAGGCTAGGTGTTGCTGAGCAAGGAAGCCTGGAGCTCAGATGTGTGTAAACCGGGTAACTGCTTGGCTGCCATAGCTTGCCTAAGGGGACACTGAGGCATTCTTTGTGAGGTTTGCTTGTGCATGCTGCCTCTCCTGTCACAGGCCTGGTGCATCCCCTCCCTGCAAGTTTACCATTCATCCAAACAGCTGCCAGCGTCAGTTTCTCTAAGGGAGAAAGAACGTTATTCTCACCAGCTTTTCTTCTCTCCAAGAACAGCAAGGACACGCCTTAGTTTAAAGAAAGAAACCTAAGTACCACTAAAGAAATGAGATGTGTTCGCGACTTGAGCCAACTAACCACAGATCTGAATTTAGAGGCATCTTATTTATCTATCTATCTATTTATTTATTTATCTAGTCGATGCAAAATAAAATTTATTCACACAAGGGCAGTATAGGGCATAATTCAGATTTAAAAAAGAGAGAGAGAAGGAAACGAATATTTTCGACACTTCACATTCACACAAATTTTGCAGCTTTGTGTCTACATTCACCCATTGAGCATGGAGTTCCCTGGATTTGAAATAATTTAGCAAAATTAGAACACCGACAGAGGAGGTTCCTTTTACGTAGGTCTATATTCTATGTAAAATGAATAATAAAGGGCCATTTTAGATAATTGGGGTTAGGGTGGGAGGGGCAGCACGGTTTCTGCTACCCTGATGACCCTCCATTCACTGCTTGGAAGGCAAATCAAAAGAGTCATTTCTCAGGGTATTTTGTACTTTTACATTCTTTTTCCAAACAGACCACATTCTTCTACTATCTTCTGTAAACTTCTCTAGAGGAGCCAGCCTTTTTCGGGGGGCTTGTTTAATCTCACAAATTAAATAAACCTTTTATCTGAAATGCCCCTTCACCAACACTTTATTTTCAACCTGTCCAAAAAGGACTCCCCAGGCAGGCCGGGCCTGAAACAGTTCTTATTTGCAATGAGCCTTTTTTTTGTTGTTGTTGTTTTTTCTTCTGAGAGAGACAACGCACCATTGTTGACTTTTAAAACATTTCTTTAGGAAACCTGGGTG